TTCATGTAATGGAATCGTCTCCAACAAATATGACACATGAGCTCATTATTTAACTGTTGAATTATAGCGATTTTTTACTTTTCAAAATTACCGTTAAGTGGAAAGTTCACGCGAACTTGGCCCAATTTTAGCGTTTGCAACTGAGTACTTACTCGTAATTCAAGCTATGTGTATTTCGTATATATATACATTTATAATTGACACTTTGTAATCATTGAAGCGATTTTCGGCAGAGCTTCTCCCTTAATTTGTAGTATTCGCCTATATGTTTTCCTACAAATTATTCATTTATGTTAGAGGACTTGACATGCCCTGCCGTGGGACGAAAAAATAATTTTCTATAAATTTTTAATTCTAGTCGTAATTGTACTCAAACAACGGCGCTCCGAATGTTAGGGCACATTGATAACCACACGGCGACAGAAATATCTATATCAATTCTTATTGAGCTCAATATATCTATGTAGATCTCTGACTAGAGCCATGGGTCTGTCATTATACACAATGAATAACCACTTCAAAATATACTGCATACTACTTACTTCTAAAGAGACCATGGTGCACTTAGTAAGCTTTTAGTTTCTTTTTTTTTGGTTTTTGAAAATTTCTAATCCTGATATGGAGGTCATATGACGAGCATGACTCTTAAATGGATATATTTCTTCCTCTTTGGCAGATTTTTTGGGTCCTACTACTTAAATTAAAACTCTGAGTTGTATGCATTCTTATATACGTATGTTACTATGTACCCAGCGATGTCTAAATATATATGTATATATATATATATTGCTTATTTAAAAAAATCTTGAAAATTAAGAATACAAAATTCTAAATTCTGTTAACTTTCGAGTGGGTCCAAAGAGAGTGGAAGAATCAAGTTGTTTTTATTTATTATTTTTGTCAGAGATGTAAATGTCGATTCTGCGCTGTAAAAAATTGAGCGCAGATGTCAGAGTAGTGATATGTAAATGAAAATGAGAGTGAAGCAGTGAAAACACGCCTCATTCCTGCACATAGCACTATGAAATTTACATACATACGCATGTATGCATACAGTGAGTTATTTACTGTTGCAAATAATAGTTATAATTTGAAGGGCTATAACTATATAACTACTACATACACATATGTATAACCATTTGTACATATACATATATAATCATATATGTATATATATACAAGTATGTTAGTACGAGTATGTCGTTATAAGCATGCACTAGTTCTGCATCGCAGGAAAAATAATGGTAAAATAAAAAAAAAACATTTTAACTTTGACTAGAGAGGCATATACATACATAGTACATACCGATGTTTATGTATGTATAATACCACAAACTTTAGTACTTGGTTTTGCTATAAATGGAAGATCCCGTAGATTTTATAAAAATTAATTCATAAAAATCATTTTCGTATTGAAGACCGTAGTAGCGGAGTGGTTAGCAGTGCGTACTACCATGCCGAGTGTCATGAAATCCAAACTTGCTAACACATCCGATTGTATTTCTGACATAAAATTAGGAACCCTTCATATATGACCATCAGCTGTCCGAAGCTGGCTCAGAACAAATTCTAAAATTCCTCCATTTCTGAGTGATATATCAAGACGCACATTGAAAGCTGGGCGGAAAATCGCTTCAGCTGTTATTAAGCGACAATAATAAAGGAGAAATATGTGTAAATGTATGTATGTCCTTTTGCAAAAAATACCGAAATGGTGTTTTTCTGTGACAAGATCCACTTAAAAATGTGAGGATTTTGGGACATATATATAAGAGTATTTAAAAACGGTCAGAAACATATTTATATTTAACTCTATAGTAAAAGTGCACTTACTTTTCTGAAATTGTAATAGGTATATATTTGTATGCATATAAATACGAACTTCCAATCCCAGTAACTAACTACATATAAAGGATATAAAAGCAGCACTCAGGACTTTTAATTACAATAGCTATAACATAAACTTTTTCTATTTCAATGTGCTCCAGTATAATACAATAGTACATAGAATACACGACGAACTCATTTGCCACTGCGTCGCCTAATTATTCTAAAAAACAAACTCATATCCCCCACCTTAACACTTGCCAAGCAATTCGCTGCATATAAGAACAACAATTTTTAACAGTCACACATTTCACTAATAATGCATTGTTGTATCCCATCAAAAAAGGGTTGATTGGTATTGGTTGTTTGAATTGTGCTCGTACGTTTGCACGAGTGTTCGTATGGTCGAAGTGAACATTGCGACCGCCGCCATGCGAAGCAGCAACAAAACAGTTACAGAAACACAACTTATTCCCGTTGATGAGATGAGTTGAGAGAGAGGGTTTTGTAGAGTAATGATAAAAACGATGGCGAAGCTTTTGGTTGGCTACTACACTGCTGATGGCAATATGTGTTTTTGTTCCTATTTTCGTTGTTACTTTTCTCTTAATGTACGTCTGAGCATGAGTAATGGTGTAGGGAGGCCAAGCCCTTGGTAGATTTTCATATTGAAAGAGCGGCGCAGAAATCAAATAAATAAAGAAGGCGCAAATGAAACAAATGAGAAACTTGTTTTGGAACATTATATTCGGTTTCATAGACTTATTTGATAAATTTATTTCCCCAAAATAAATATATATGTATATATTGTGTCTATATATTTATATATTCATTGAATTTATACATCCAGTAAGCTTATTTAGATATTTATTTCTTGTTGAGATATAACGTAAAATCTCTCTTTATATCTCAACAAAAAATAAGATTACTCTATACATATATCTAGTTAATAGTTAGATATATATCAAACTGGTTCTCTTAACAACCGCACAACGCGTTAAAATTTGTTAAAACCTACTACAAAAATTTTAATTCAAACGCGGCGATGTTTCGTGATTTAAGAAGATGCAAGCAATTCACACCGTTAGTTACATACATAAGTCGATTGGGAGCTTGAACAAAAGGCAGTGTACGACGACTTTCGCAGAAAAATTTTCTTCAGACACACGAGACAAATTCTCACTCAAAAAAAAAACTTACTGTCTGGGTCGCTCTCTGATGCGTGATTGGAGCTTACTTTATTGAAAATGAAATCGGCGAGACTGCCACTGTCAATTTTGACATGCAATTGTTGAACACAACTAGAAAAATATGTGATTTCAATACGATGGTGCCACATGCCACACGACACGAGCGATTATGGCTATATTGTCACGTGATCTCTCGTCTCGGCGATGTCGATTTGCCACCGAGAATTTCGATTTTACATAGTTCAACTTTATTTTATGTGGTTATGCGAAATACCGTGTTCAAGTGGATAAAATTTTATTTATGTACTAGAAATAATATTTTTTCTTTAGTATTTACTGGTCTTACCCAAGGTCGAAACATAAGAAGGTCAAACTTTGAGTGTATTTACTTAATTTATAAAAAATTTTTACATTTCTTTTATAAAGAAAATCCTTTGATCTACCTTAATATTCGGTTTCTTACCCCACGCATTCCTCTTAATTGCAAATGGATTTAGTCCTAAGCCTTCAAATAGAAGTGGGCAGGAATGTAAGGAAGGACAACGTTTTTGTGGAGAAGTATTTGTGACTTTGAACAAACTAACGGAGGATCAGTATGTAAAGTTTTCTAAATGGGATCGCCCTTCGGCAGGGTATGTCAGCCCATCGCATACTATTTTTATTTTTCGAAACATGCTTTTATATATACAATATTTACATGTATAAAGAGTATATTTATTAAATCATATAATGATAAAAAGTCTTATTTGCTCACATTAATCATTTAAACAAATATTTTCAGAACTTCTGTAGATATCAAAATAGTTTCGCTCTACTCTTCCATCGCAGACTGTAGGGTGTCAAAGTTGAAATAAAAATGAGACAAAACGAAAATGTCAAAGAGAATAAGAGCCGACAACAACAAGTACTATAACGAGCAGTACTCTTTCATTTACTACATTCTGATGGAGACATAATTGCATATCTGTAAATATGTAAAAAGAGTGGGTACATAAGCTGTTCATATAAGTACATATGTATATATGTATGTACAGCATGTCGTTAGCGGCGACGCAGCTGAGTGTGTGAGCAACTTTGTATACTTTGATGCTCGAAACTCAAATTCGGCAACTTTTTTAATTACACGTCCGCCCGCCAGTCAGCAAGCCAGCCAGCCAAGCAGCTGGTTACTACACTTTCTTAACTCTGGCAAGTCTTTGCTGTTGCCATTGCTCAATTTATGCAGCTTCGGTTGCTGTTGCTATTCATTGTTGTTGCTGCTGTTACAGTTGCGGTGGTTGTTGCAGAGTAACAACAGCCAAGAAACCCCAAGAGTATGTAGCAGGAATTAAGTGGTCTAGGGTAGTAGCAGGCGGTTTGCATTTCAACCCTCATTCATATGCTCACTCACTCGCTCACTCGCTCATACGCATACAATTCACAAATATATATTTATGTATTAAATTTCATTGCCTTTGACTTAATGCAACTGTGTGTGAATGGCGGATAGACTGCCTGCCTGCCTGCCTGCCTACCAGGCTCAGCGACTGCTTGCTTGCTGTCTGGCTTGGTTGGCTGGTTGGTTGACTGACTGATGAACTCAATGACTGGGCGCTTCGACGGTGCTTGGCAAAGTTGATTCAGTTTCAAATGAGTATCCGCCGTGTAACAACGTCCATACGGTGGTAGCGAACGTGTTAATGTGCAACAAACCGAAATTGTAATGAAAAAGAATGGCTGATTGTTTGTGAAAAAGAAAAAAAATAAACTAGAAAATACAAAAGTAACAAAAATTCAATTAACAAACAAAGAAAACTAAAGAAATAATATTTATATGCCTATGTGCACACACACGTTCATACATATGTGAAATGGAATGAAAAAAGTTCAAGCGCTTATAAGTACACAAAAAACAACAACAAATAGTATATTACAACTTCAAAAGTGTTGCTATAAAGCTTTAAATAAACACATAGGTATATCCAATGACAATTGTTAATTAACGTGCATAAATATGCTGCATTAGGGTCCTTTCAAAAAGTGCGTGTAATTCAAAGTTTCTTTAAAAATTCAACTGTGAACAGTTTGTGTTTGCGTTTGCTCTGCCGTTAGTTGCTAACAACATGAGCCTGCCCAGCGGCGTGGATATGCAAAATTTAATGTCTCAACATCCAGTTCTAGGCGCTTTGCCACCGGCCTTCTTTCTACGCGCGGCATCTGAGCGTTATCAGCGTACGCCGAAATGTGCGCGTTGCCGCAATCACGGAGTGGTGGGTTCTTGGCAATTTTTTAACCTCACTCTATGGGTGAAGCAAAAATTTTTTTTTTGAATTTTATAATTACCAAATATACATACTTACTTTACTGGCTTGGAAACCGCTTACGCAATTATATATATAATATAATACATTCAAGTAATTAATTAATTAATTAATTTTTAATATAATTTAATAGCAATTTCTTTATAAAATTAATTATTTCATAAGAATTATCAGTCACTATTATAATTATTAATTAATAATTATTATTTTTTTTTAACAATTAATATGTTTCTTACATAAAAAATTACATAAATCTACTTAATAAGCGTACTAATTATATAATTTATATATATATAATTGGCGCTTTGTAACCGCTGAAGCGATTTTCTGCGTACTAATTACAAATCTGTTAATTCAAAACTTGTCCATCCTGGCCCATATAATGCCTGAACTACAAAAGGCGAGTTGTACTACCATGCGGAGGAGCATGGGTTCAAACCCTAACCAGACAAATATCGAAAATTAACTTTTCTTATTACCGTCGCCACGTCGGAGGCAGCTGCGAAGGTGTGTACATTTGTTGGGAAAAACATCAAACGCAAGTCCCAATTTGGAGAAGTAGCTCAGTCGTAAATCATTTCAGTTGCCTCAATTATATGTATATTATATATTTTATTAAGGGGTTTGACCGCTTAAAAAAAATTTTTTTTTTTTGGCATTAATTTCTACCACATCTCGACTACACACATATATAAACCTAAAATGTCAAGTCGATTCGAATAATCCGTAGATGCGCACTCATGGGTAGGTAAAAGGTACACCGCTTTACGCTCTAAACGCATTTTTCTAGAAACTGTGTTTAAGTTTTCTAAAACTACACAAGCGACCTCGACGAAATTGACAGGTTTCACAGATCTTCTAGTTACAAATTCACTATGAGTTGGAGGAAGAATTATTTTTTTGTTTATTTTCGATTACAAATTCTAAAAAAAAAATATTGGACACACTTTAACAAAATCCGTCAAAAAACCATTTTTTTAATTTGTTTATTTTCCGTCGTTAAAGCTCTAGTTTATGGCAATAACTACTCGTAAGACACGATTTTCCTTTTTCAACTCGGGTGATCCTGCCATAAGTTTTACTGTCAACACAGATACAGCTCTTTCCGAGCAGTCACCGCAGTCACCGCGCAGTTTTAATTTGTTGCCTTTGAAAATTTTAGAAGAACATAAATATTTTGAATAAAATATTTTATTTTATATAAAAAATATATAACTTTTTTCCGAAGAAACTCATGCAACTCTTAAGTCGTCAACTCTTAAGCCAAGAATCGTATTTTGAGTTATTAAAAATTTTATATAAAATCTGTTGCGCTTCAATTTTAGAAAACACTTTTAACTCAATTAAAAGTGTAAAAACAATTTAGACAAATTTTTAAAAGTTCTTTCTCTAAAATATTATTATTTTTTTGTTGTTTTGTCATCATAAGTGCTTTTAAAACAACTTATTTCACCAACTAGATAAATTTAATTTTCTCAGAAACCTCTATGTCCGTTTGATATATGGAAAGCTGAAACATTATTTTAAATATCAAGGTTTAAGTAAATATAAGTTGTTTCATTACAACAACAATTTGCTGAAAATCGTTTGGTAAATAATGAGTATATTTTGACATAAGAAGTTATAAAAAATAAAAAAATCATAGCCGATTAAACATATGAAAAAACTTAGGCACGCTTAAGTTATAGGAAAAATACACAAAAAATATGGATGCTGAAAAATAAATTCCGATAAAAGTTTTCTAAAATATGGAATTTGATAATAGATGGGATTATAAATGTGTATTTCGAGCAGTCGAAGCAGAACATTTAACCTAAACCCCTTTTTGACTTCTCTTGACTTAAGGTGTTGCAGTACATTATAGATTACATACGGAGGTCAGGAATGTACACGTTGAGCAACCATCAACAGAACATGAATGATTACCGACTAGTAGATAAAGCTCTTTGCTCATCGGTGTAGAGCTTTACTCTTCAATTGCATACTGAATCCACAGTTGAAATTAATTAGTTTTTTTTCTCATTTTCGAGCTCTTATACCAGGCATTATATATGTCTGTTTGCGCAATCGTTTTACACTTTGCCTGTTTTTTTTCACGTCAGAAGGTAATTTTATTTTATTTTTTATTTTAGTTTATTGATTTCTTCATTTCTTCGACTTCACTTCACTTCTTTCTCTGTTTATTACCCCTAAAATTGTCAGATAATTCGCTGATTTTTAAATAATTATTATTTTTTTTTAAATAAAAAACAAATTATATTTAAAAAAAATATATATATATATATTTATCATCTCAAAATTCTCCCAACTCTGCTTACAGGTTAGCGCACTCAAAGGACACAAACGTTATTGCCGTTGGCGTGACTGTGTTTGTGCGAAATGCACATTGATTGCGGAGCGACAGCGTGTTATGGCCGCACAGGTACGCATTAAGGTCGATTCACAACTAACAGCACGGAACGATGCGTAACAATACTTTAGAAACTGCTATCAAGTAAATGAAATCTAACAAAAACTACAAAATCACAAAAAAAATTCAAATAACATATTTAGTTCGCACTCAGCGGCAGTGGAGTGCAAAATGGAAGCAAGAAAAAAAATTTTTTTTTAATACATTTCTAATAATTTCTTCTAAAATTATTCAAGAATCTCGTCTTAGTAATTATCAAATATTTATTTATAATTTTTGAACGACATAAAAAAAATCAAAGTAAATATTACGCCGTACTGTCTCGTGCCGTTCTGTGCCCTGCCAATGGGTGTGAATCTATGCTTGAACCAACAGTTAATTGCAACTTAACTTATGCACTTTTTTTTGTGTTTCAACTATGTACCACTAGGTCGCATTGCGTCGCCAACAAGCTCAAGAGGAGAACGAGGCACGTGAACTGGGTCTACTATACACCAATGTGCCGCCTGGCCAGCAGAATGGCGTTGAGGGCGGTGGTGGTGGCGCTGGTGTGCCACCAAATCCGCACAGTCCCGCGCCACCAATGACCAACGCCACTGGCTTCCATCCGGGCATACCCTCACCGCCCAGTGATGGCTTGGACACCAGCAATAGCCAGCGTATACAGTATAACGGCAATGAATCAGATACCGATGTGCGTATGCGTTCTTCGGAGCGACTTTCGATGGGCTACTCGCCGGATCGCAGCACTGAAGTGGAGAGTCCAGGTGAGTGTTAGTGTTTATGTGTTAAAGAACAAGTAGCAAAAGCAAGACAGAGTAGTACGTGGAGTGAAGTGACTGAGCAAAGAAAAGTGTTGCACGTTTGTCTGGCATGAAATGTTGCACATTTTGCGACAATTTCTTGTTTGTGTTGTTACAACGCGACTACAACAACAACGCGCTACGTCATATTACAGCCATTGTTGGACTGTTGTTGTTATTTTTGTTGTTGTACTTAAGCGTTGAAGTGTGTTTGCGCACACTTTGGCGACTTCCGCACAAGAACACCGTTAAAAGTGTGTAAAAATTACAGCAAACGTTTATTTTGAATAATCAAAAAAAATGGCTTGAGCATTCGAAGTTTGCCGTCGACGGAAGTGCAACGGTGCATTGAGTGCTCCTTCGAGTGGGTGTATAAGTGCGTGTGCTTGGGTGCCATTGTTCTTGTTGCTGTTGCTGCTGCTTGCAATTGGGTTTAGCGAGGGGGTGTTGACACAAGTAATTTTTTTACGCATGAAATACACTTGGAAAGTGGCGAAATTTGGATCGAAAGGTGGAGGTTTGTTGATTCTCTTATTTGGTTTGATAATGTGTGTACCAAGGTAGGCGACGTACTGACGTTTATTTGAGCGTTGATTCTAGTGACACTTTCTTCGTCAACCAATTGCTTGGTGGCTAAGTTTTGTAGCTGCACACTCATTTAATGTCATGGTCTTTGAAACCATAAGATATATATATATATATATATATAATTGGCTAGGTAATTGCTTCTCTTCCCATTTCTGGTGTGCGTCTTGATGCTTCATCATTAAATGGCGGGACCTACAGTTTATTCTTGGTCGCGTCCGAATGGTCGCTGGAGTTTTATGAGAGGCTATGATTTTTTTGTCCTAAATATATTCCAAAGGACTTCAAATTCCTTGCCGGTGGGCGACCATAATTTGAAAAAATAATTTCTGAACTTACGAGTGTTAGTACACAATGCTAACCAATCGACTATTGCTACCTTGATAACGTAAAAATATTAATTTTTCCGAAATTCAACTTCTATGGTTAGCCGAGCTAGGCGTGGGGTAGGACGACGTATAATTCCGCTACATGGCTTCACTTTTACTACGCGAAGTTGCCATGTCTTTGTTGGGGTAGACGTTCATTATGTGACCTTTCTGTCTCTACTTGTTACAAGATATGAGTAGGGGCAGTTGCTCTATGGTCCACAGTTTTTAAAAATCTGTGGTGTTTCTATGAAATTAACGTCCTTATGAGGAAGTGGTTCAGAGTGATCGGTCCATCGTCTTCATGCTGCAAAATTTGTTATATTTTCATCAGAGATTTTGGTGTTTCGATTCCTCGAGCTATCTCGCAAAGCATATGATTCAATAAGACTTCAGCCCCTCCCAACAACAACCTGCATTAGAAATGGATGGACAATTAAATATCCACTCTATGTACTCTGTTTGTATGCGGTCGATGGTGGTCGATGTTCAAGGTAAGGGATGGATGGATCAAGAAGGTAGAAACAACATTTCACATCTTCTCTCTCTTGAGCCCGCATGTGACATAAAATGGATAAAAAAAAAACGACGACGATCTACGAGCGCTGTAAAGTAGCCACATTTTCTCGTCAAAGGGATCACTCTATTATAAGTGAGTTTAGATGGTACGTTACAAGTTAATTGGCGAGATGAGGAAACTTTCGCAATCTCGTCTTGCCGTACGCAATTTTTTTAAGATTTTTTTGGCTGCTTAACTTTCTGGCGCATCATTTCTTCTCATACATATTTGGCGTTTGTAATGTAGCGAAAATTTTGCGTCATGATGCATGCCTTTCTTTCGTCAGCAAGCTGCTCTGTCCAGTTTCGTAAGGTTTACCAATTAATCGCGTAAGTAGTTCACCCTAATATGGATTTGGTTTGCATTTCGGCTTGACTGATGTAGGATTATAACTGAAGTTGGGCGTTGTGATGTGAGTAGTCAGAGATATGCCAGTGAAGATGTTACCATTCTCAAGGGAGGATTACTTGAAGGCTTGACATTGTCGCAAACTCAAACGTAATATAATTCGATTTTTCTCGCCAACTCCAAGCTTACTTTGGACCCCTGTTTGGTGGTCACTTTGCCATCGTACTCTTGCAGGGACTCGGTCTACTTTCATGATTGCTATTGCCGAGTGTTCCACGAAAAATGATTAAAATCACATGAAGAAAAAGTTTAAAATAATAATAATAATGATAATCCTGTTATCAGTTATGCAATTTATAGCGCAACTCATTCAAATTTTGCGAGAACACTGTGCAGATCGCTTTTGAAAACAGGCAATAATCAGACATGAACACGTATGGACCTTTCGATTAACTTCAGTAGTCAAATGGGTTTTATCGAGGGGGGAAAAGGTGTAGTCTGTACATTTTTTATATACAAAAGATAAAATGTTTTACTAAAGCTATTTATTTTCTTAAAGATATGCATTTGAAAAAGAATTTCAGAAATTTAACTTACTTTTGAGCGCGCTCCTTTCCAAGGCTGTATCTCGGACATTTTTATTCGGTTCAACTTAAAAAAATAATATTGTACATAAAAAAATTTTTTTTTGAAGCTGTTGGTTAGTTGGTTACTAGAGAGAGGTTTATGATCTAACCGCAAGCGGAGCATGTTAATTATGCTCTTCCATGCGAGCCCACATAAGTGAGATTATAGCTGTGGCCAGTGACTTTTCAATCGGCCGAAGACCGGACAACAATAAAGTTCCATCCTCTGTGCATGATCTGGAGATGATACCACACGACTAGATGCCCCGTTAATACACCTATAAGAATGTTAAGTCATATTTTGCTTAATGTAAGTAACAGCTTTGTCTATTTACTCTCCATTCAGCCTCACAACGCCCTACATTGGATTAGTCCACTGTTTTAAATAACACTTGAAGGCGCTGAAGAGTCTTAGGCAGCTCGTACGATTTTTCATTGCCTTCTACATCCATGTGACCGGGGACTCAAGCGAAATTCTGTGATTTTATAGCTATGGTCTATTAATTGTCTCTTTGCTTGTTCTAAAGCATTTGGATTTTGTATTGACGCAGTTAATTGCCTCAATTGGCATTTGACTGCTTACAAAAAATTATATACTTTACCGTTAAAGCGGTTTCCCATTTGACACCTTTAGTAATGCCTACAGTCTTTGCTTAGAATACAAAGTTGTAGGCATTAAATTTGAAGCTACTTTGGATATTGTGGTTCTCACAGAAGAACCCTAATCCTGTGCCTGCCTCACATTTATACCCGTCACTATAGATATGAATATATTTATTGTTAGCGATGTGCTCACCTTCCGTCCTTTCTTCTCTACTAGAAAAATAATAAATGGTCAATACTCGACAGAAGATTTCTGTTTCTCGTTCGCATCTTACATGTAGCCCGTGTTCTCATAAAAATCTATGAATACTCTCCTTTACAGAAAGCTTGCTCTTTATTTCCACATGAACTTGTCTTACGTACCGAATGTTCACAATTCCACTTAGTTAAATGTGTGCTCCCGTGAAATTGATGCTCATAGTTACACATTCACCTCTTCTTCCATTAAAAACTGAAACTGTTCTCTATCTCCCACTCGAGCATAAGTATTCCTAAGACGTTGTTACATATTGCTCTGGCCGAAATTCGAATACATGATCCTTTTATGGTAGTGTGCGCACTGCTAGTCATTTTGATTGTTCGTGCTTCCAATAAAAAATTGAAATTCTTTGATTTTATTTGTATTCGTAGTGTGTGCTGGAAGCCCAGAGCATGCTTGAGTACTTAAGATATCGAAATTTTCTCCTCACCTGTCAATTATCCATCAATTATACACACACCGCTTCACTTAATTAAATTACACATTCATTCACAGTACACACACACATACATAAATACGAGTACTTAATACTGATTCACCCAGCAGCAAGTCAAAAAAATTACAATTGAACCAAAGCAAAACAAATAAAGACTCCTGGAAAGGTGCAGAGATATCAAATGACTACGAGTATTCGCTATTTTTTCCCAAACTCTGCGAGTTTCTAAGCGACCACCAGCACCTGCCTACCATCAGCGACGGTGTTTTTTTTTCGGTGTGTGTTGCCAACATCCCTGCATTTGAAGCAATATTTACAATTCGTTGTGATTGAATTTATTTAAACTTCAATTTGATACTTTATTTTTTGTAAAGCAGAAATGTAAAAATGTTTTCTTTCTTTCTTTGCTTGTGTGCGTTCATCGTCGACTAACTCTGAGGTATCAAGTATCTCTTGCTCTAGGTATGTATGTACATACACGTATGTATGTATGCTTGTATGTAAAAAATGTTTAAGATGTGTGTGTTATGGAAAATTGTGATGAGCATTTTCAGAGGTAGGAGGAAGTATCTGGATTTACATATACGTAATATATATATGCATAAGTATATGAAAATTCCTTGCAGAAATAATTTTTTTTTTTGTAATTTGAGAGAGAATTTGTTTTCAATCACCAGATAAAAAGCTACTCCCTTCAAAAAGTGCCTGAATATTAGTTCCATACATCAAGAAGAAATTGAAAAATTGTCCCAGCAAAACTAATTTACCTTCTAACATTTTTTTATACGATTTATTTCCACCCACTTTTCCTTTTCATTGACTAATTCCTTCTACCTATTCGCTTTCTCCTCCTTTGCAGGCTCGAAACGTGCACGACTCTCCAACGAGACCGATCAGGATACCGGCTCGGAATCTTCGCCCAGCAGTCCACGCATGAAGGGACGTAGCTACAATAATGATGGCAGTGGCAATCTTTCACCCACCCGCACCGGACCGCCCAGCTCACCGGAATCTGATCTCGATGTTGATTCGGCGCCCGATGAGGCAACACCCGAAAATCTCAGTTTGAAAAAGGAAGACTCCACCTCACCACCGCACACACCCACAGACAACCTACATTTGCTGCGCTCGTTCAACAATGGCGCCGCACAGGGTTTCATGCCATATCATCATACGCAGTTCCTTGCCGCTGCCATGCCGGCTGCTGCCGCCGCTGCTGCTGCTGGCGTCGTGATACATCCACACAATCAACACTCACCGCATGCGCCACAACAACATCATCAACACCCACAGCACCAACATCCACATCATGCCCAACAGCAACAGCATCAGCATCAGCAGCAACAACAACAACAGCAGCAGCACGCGTTGGCGGTACAACAACAAATGCAGGCATCACAACCGCAACAACGTTCACCCGTCGATGTGCTCTTACGCGTCTTTCCCAATCGCCGTCGCAGCGATGTTGAACAGCTGTTGGCACGCTATCGTGGTGATGTCCTACAGGCTATGGAGGCCATGCTATCCGGTGAGGATATGACGCAGGCGCTTGCTTCGGCTGCGGTGGCTGCAGCTGCTGCTTCGGTTGCGGCATCGCCACCAAATGTGCCGCCATCGCCGCCCTTCCCACTAAAGTCGGCCTTCTCGCCATTGGTGCCACCCGCTGCAGTCTTCGGTTCGCCAACACATCGTTATCCGCCCTTCATGCAGGCGCATGCTAAACGTTTCCTTGCCGCCGGTCCATATGCGACTGCCGCGTATTTGCCCGGTGTGCTGCCACCGGATGTGATCGATCAAGCAGAGTCGAATGGTGGTGCGTCGATGGATCGTAATAGTAACGCCGGTGATTCGCAAGATTGAAAAAGTTGTTGCGCGAAGAGTAGTCCTGTGGGCGACGAGGTTAATATGTTCAGACCATATGTTTAGCGTCTCCCCTCGGTCTCAGCCAAGCTCCAGATGAAGTGGGAAAAATATATTGTGTATATGGTTTTGTAAATAGTGGTACAACAACAATAAGTGAAGAAAAACTTCCTAGGGAAAACTATATACACGGTGTGTAGTGTATATATATATATTAATTTTAACCAGTGTTTAAACAGAAGTAAAGCGTTCGAATAAGTAAGAGCCCATAAAAACATGCAAATTTTATTTAAGTTCAGAAATTATATTATCTGAGTATACCAAGATTTGTAAATGCTTTAGTTGCATTTAAAAAAAGTAGTTATTTGTATCCTAAATAACCGTAAGGCACTAGTTAAAAGAATAACAAAATACTTAAGTATAAATAAATATAAAATTAATAAATAGATTTGTGCGACGTTAATAAACTATAATGGAATAAAATTAAATATATTATGTATGAATAATTGAGAACTCTAGATTAAAATAACTGAAAAAATATTTACTGTAGAAAGGACATAATTTTAGCTTTTAATTTTAAGCGATATTATCTACTGTAAAACTGAAAATACTGTGTTAAAGCGTATAAAATAAAAAAAAATATCTAAAAAATTCAGTTCAGTTTATTTCTTAAGGGGCAAACCTACAGGCTTATTCTCACTTGTTACTTTTCTTTGTCACCCGAAATTGAATTTGGTATTCTAGCGAATTGGTTACAATGTTTGAAAAAAATTTGCCAGCACTGCTTTTTTCGTCCATGTCAAATTACATTTGCCAGTTGATAAAGTAAAATGGAAAATATTCACATCGAAATGGAAGACAGTGCACAAAACAATTAAAAAGTTTTATTAATTTGTTTATTAAATCATAAATATTTGAACCTAATTATGGAAAATATGCCTGGACAGCAGTTAAAAGCTGAATGAAAACGTTACCTTACAAATTAAAGGGCTATTTTTTAGTCTCGAAAACTTCTTAAAATACGACATTTTGCACTTTTTTCTTCATCTTCAATGAATTCCAGTCCTAAACTATGCCAACCCATTTTGATTTTTTATTTTTTCTCAAACTAACAACACAAAATCAAACAGCAGATATTTTTGTTACCTCCTATTTCGCTGGTAACAAAATTTACAGGGTAACAGTGAGCTCAGAATACGAAATGGTAACAAAATTTACTGAATGGTAAATTTTAATACCTAGGTAAAATTTGTTACCTCAACAGAATAGGCCTGCTAGTGTGAAATTTCACAATTTGGTAAAAATTAAAAATAACATATTAAAATTTCGAATCAATATCTCATATGGTTTTTGAGTTATAGCAATTTAAAGAGCAGCCGCTCGGCAGCTAGAGAGTCTCATTAGCTACGAGTGAAAACGATCATTTTATCGTTAAACGCGTTTTTCTCGAAACAGCATTTTCCGAATTTGCTGCTGTGATTACTCAAAAATTAATAATCCGATCACTATCGATTTTTTTCACATGTTCTATATATAGTTCTCCGTACTGTGGCCTATCGAATTTTGATCTGATCAAAAAATCGACGACTAAAATTTTGGTTAAGATACGACTATTTTTTTTAAACGCCGCCACATTGTCAATTTTTGTTTTTTTTTTATCGTAGGTCATTGTACAGACAATATTATCTAGTTTAACGAGAATTTGTTTTAGATTTCATCCACGGAGAAGGCCGTTATTACTGCAGCGGAGAAGGCCGTTATTACTGCAGCGCCGTTGGAGATCGACTATAACTTAAAAATATTTAATTTTTTTCTTCAAAAATTTCACTGTACATTCTTGAAATATATATAAATATATACTTAAAATTTTGAAATAATTGATAAAGTATTTTTTTTAATAAGAATTCCCAAAAATCACCTTTTTTTAGGTCATTACACTGAATCGTGAATAATAGTCCTTCAGACTGTCGCATCCTGGCCCATGCGCACAGGGTGTGGTTTTGGTGGTTCATTTTTTGTGGGCGATTACTTAAAGAAAGGTCTTATGAGTATAATACAACAATATTTGGTGATTTAAATAAAATATGGGTCTGTTTTCAAAGCTTCTTCAAGCCACCAGTTTGCAGTGAGCAATATATAGTTCCAGTGACAGTGAATCTTGCATGGCATTAAGCCAGTTGTCATACGAACAGGCGCAGCACCGATTTGTTCAGGCATGATGCTTCAGTAAAAAGCATTGGTATCTACAAAACAAACATTGTCACCGAAAACCATTGAGTTCGAAGGACTATATCATACAGCACCCATATAGCCGATTTGTTCAGATATTAGGTTTTTGATAAAAAAATCCCATGCACAAATAAAAACTGGCACGAAAAATTATGGAAATCGGGAAAACTTATCATTTAGTCCTCTCCAACCGAGTTTTTGGTTTGCTTTTTTGCTGCGTAGCCAACGCTTAAATTTTTTCTCGCCCAGTGCCCAAAGTGAATTTTCATTAATATTCGCAGTTCCTTGATTATCCCTTAATTCCCGATGCTGACCTTGCATTTTCAATTCAATTATACTATTTTACTTCATTAGAAAATTCAATTATATTATTTTAAAGTTCTGAACTGTATATGACTACCATCATTATAACTTAACTGTACACGTGCGCCAACATCCTCTCCGCCCCACTCCTTAGTCATATCCACAAAAGAACAAAGCAACTTTTGACTTTTGCCTATAATCGTTCGATAAGTTGAAATTCACACCAATAGTTATTTATCTTGATTAATATCACACCCACTCAAAAAGGACAATCGGTCGGTTATTCGGCCCGACGCCACATACATACTTACATACACATGTATGTATGATAATAACTGAACCACACATGACCGGGATTAACAGAGATATGAAATTTGTCAAACAATTTTGTTTGTTGATATATTTGGTGAGAAAGAAAAAAAAACAATAAATAGTTTTAACATTAACAATACAATAGAGTAACAACAAAAACAAAAACAACTGCAATTAAGGACTTATGTATGTACGCGTGTGAATGGCAAAATTAATGACCAGCACAGCCAGCGTGTGGGTGTGCATTGTGAAAGTGACCAAACAATCAACAAGCTGAGCCAGTTGCCATTCACAAAACGAGTAATTATATCCTTATATTTATTGTATAAATATTTTGTATTAATGTATAGGAGGGATCAAGTGTGAAATCCCTTTTTACTTTTATGCCTATCAAGGCACACACCGGGCACACAACGGACACGCCGGGCATTGTAATCCCAATCATATTTATTGTTGGCAAAATAGTTTAACTATTCTAGTAATAAATTTATGAATTGTATGTTTGCATGTGCGTTTACTTATGCTGCTTTTGTGCAATGGCCAGCAGATGGAAGTTTCCGCAGAACATTTACAATAGCAATATAATTTACTGTAATAGTATCGATAACTCGAAGTCAAGAGAAAATTAAATAATGCAATGGATAAGAGAGTCTTGGTGAGCGGTTTGGAGCATTCTCAGTATACGGGTTAGTTGGAAAAGTGATTGTTAAAAAAAAAGGGGAAAGTTTATCAGAAAAAAAATTCTTTTGTATTTATTCGTAATCCTCGTCCTTTTTATATTTTCTACATAATCGCCTTTGATTTCAAGGCGTTTCTTAAGCATATAGATCCACCTCTGCTTATCAAGTTCAGCATTAACCGCACTAATTGTCTCCTGGTTGCTATTAAAGACCGTTCCTTTTACATTTCTTTTAAATTTTTGGAAATACCAGCAAGCGGAAAGTGTTATATCCGAGGAATATAGGGCTGGACGTATTTCTTCGTTCCCAGAGATCGCAATAAAATTACTCGTTATTTCAGCAGCGTGGGATGGCGCATTGTTACGATGTTAAAATAAGCGCCACAAATCGTCTTTCTTTCTGTTTCCCAACAAATTTTTGAAAACTTTTGGTAAGCACTCATCGTTAGACCATATTGCTGTTACCGTCTGACCCTTTCCCAGTGGTATAGCAGTTACGATTTTAGATCGGATGAAGTAAACTGACATCAATACTTTTTCTCCTGATTTTTGTTGCTTAGATTTTACTGGTTGGTTTGCTCCTGTTGAGCTCTATACCATGGACTGCTATTTGGTTTCTGGATCGTACAATACTTATAAAATCAAAAGTTGCTAGACTGATCATTTTCGAATTTATTTAGGAATAATTGAACAAAATGCACCCGAGTTTCTTTTTGGACCTCATTTAAAATTCGTGGGTCGAGCAGATTTCTTCATGTATCCCAGATGATTTGTAATATTCGCGATATAGCCCTGGCAATCGGGACTTTGGCCAATTTTGGACTTCACCAGAGCTACAGTGGTGTCATCAGTGGAAGATTTTGTTCGGCCTTTCCGGGGCTCGTCTTGTACGGAAAACTCTCCGGTCCGGAATCTTCGGTACCATTCAAAGATGGTGCAATCGTGCCATATGCACTTTGGCATTCACTGAATATTTGTATTGGGTGTAAACTACGCCGAAACTCGAAGAGAATCACATGGAGAATTTCTGTTTGCGTTGGTGGTGGAATTTTGTCTCAACTATCCTCAACTGTGTTGCGTTTTCTCGTCACTATTTTAGCCGATCGTACCACTATTTGAAAGGAAGATTTATAAAGTAATTACAAAGGATATGATACTTTTATATTTTACAAAAACAAATTGAAAGTCACCAACTGACCGTACTTTTGTTTCTTCCCACGTATATTATAGACCTATGAAAAAAGGTGATTTACACCCTTTTTACGTGTACCGATTTCCAAGACACCTACACGTATATCATATTAAAGGTGAACGGAGGGCGGCGGAATACTCAATATAGCTGAGATTTCAATTTATCCATTGATAATGTCTTCTACCTATAAAAATTAAACATGCCATATCTCTTCGCCATAATTTTAATTACTCAATACTTGTGGGTATACAACATTTTTGACTTTACCATTGACATTCGTCCACTTTCCGAAAAAAA